ACTTGCACTAATCACCAACTAGGCCAAAGAAGCTCATCAAAATTAATTAAACTCAATAATCTTAGCCCGTTGAAAATTGCACTTTATTTAACGGGCTATTAGAGTGCATACTCAAAAAAATTTGCTAAAAATTTCGACATTTTTTATTAAAATTTGTTAAATTCTTATAAGTTTGCACGTCGGATTACATGATTTTTGTTATATACTCTTATAAAATAATAGTAAATATTAAACAAACGAAAGAAAAACTGGCAATACTGAGCATCAAAATAGGGCGCTATTCAAGTGACCGGCACTGTATGTATGCAGGCTATTGTATGTACGCGCGCTATTGATATACGTTTGGGACGGCGGTGGCATTTAGGTGTGTCGCACAGCCACCATTGTAGATATTGCGGCTATCTTTTGTTGTATTTTCGCGACATTCAATACGCGTTATAGTTTGTCAGCTGAGGGGCTGATAAAATGGTTTTGTTCATAGAAGTTTACACGCATCGTTGCGATAAAAGGACATTGGCAGCAATCGGCTTGAATGGATGGCTCGTTGTGAGTTGTAATAAGCTGAAACAATTGACATCAATAAATAAAATGTTGTACATTCCGATGACCGCTAGCGTAGTTTGCACTGTGAAAAAGGGGATATTGGAAATACATAAATGGCGAGTGGTCATAAAAATTGTATTAAAATAATTTTATGTGCTTTTGTTCCTTAGTATCAACGTTTATTGGTATGTGTACAACATGTAATTATTTACATACAAACTAGCGTACCCGGTCTGCATTGCTTTGCATAGAAAAAGAAATATTTATTGTAAGGGAGTTTACATTCACGTCTTTCTTCCAGTGTAGCTTACAACTTTGTTTTACGACAATTTATGTATATAAAACTAACAAGTGTGTGTATGCGATTATGACAATGGTGACTTTCGTACATATGTACGTATGTGTTCAGAAAAAACTTAGGCTGACAGAAAAACAAAGGACACACATGAAACGCGTCAAAAGGTCAGTCAATACTTTAAGCGTTTAGCCGTTATATTTGTACAAATGAACTGGACTTATGTCAATGAAATTTGGCACACAGATAGGTTTTTAAGAGAGTTGCCAACTTTTTAAAACTTAAAGTCAATTAAGTAATTAGTTATAAAGAATATTACAACATTGTAGATATCAAACGAAAGAGGCCCCAAAATAATTTATTTTGAAAATATTTTTTAAGAGGGTGGCCACCAGTTTAAAATACTTAAATCGATTAATTACTAATAATATTTGATTGGCGCTTCTCCTTCGATTAGTGGCGTGCGCCTTGTTGTTGTCGCACAAAGCGGAAGGCACCTACAGTTTTACGCCGAAAAACTTCGAAGGATGCTGCCATCTATTAAGAAATTCAAAATCTATTTAGTTAAGAGTTTTAATAAAATATTTGTATATATGGATATCTAACGCGAGCTTTGCAAGAACTTTATTTCTAAAAGGTTTTTGAACAGGTTTGCCACCTGTTAAGGAATTTATAAACAATTTTTATCTGGTAATCAATTTAGTTAACAATTTAAATATAATATTTTAATATCAAACGCGAGGTTTAAAAAAGCTTTATTTCTCAAATATTTTTGAAGAGAGCTGTTTAGTTAAATGATCTATTTAGTTAACAATTTAAAAATAATATTTTATTGTCGGTATCAAACAATAGAGGTTTAACGAAAGAATGTGTTCAACTGCGGCTCTAGAGTCGCTCCTGGAATGGACTCCTCTCCATATTTTGATCCAGGAAATAGCAGCCACGAGGAAGCTGCAACTTCGATTATCTAGCGACGACTTCTTCGCAAAAAAGCTCCATGCAGGTATTCTTGGGAAGACACCAGGGTTGGAAACATGCGGAATCTCTGTTTTGGCAGAAAATTCCAAGCGATAATCCCCGATCGCGAGGATTGGGCAAAAGGGCTCCCTGAACTTGATGTCAGATACGTACACTGGTACACAGACGGTTCAAGGTTGGCGCACAGAGCAGGTATCTTTGGATCTAGCACCAAACTTGCGATTCCCATGGGCAAATGGCCGTGCTGAAATATTCGCCAATTTTGAACTGCGCAAAATTAATCCCTGAAAAAGGTTTAAGGTTCTAGTTATGTTTTCAAATTGCCAAAATGACATTCGGGCCATTTTAAACAGGACTGCTTTGACATGCTACACATTTTGGCAGTCAAAAACACGGTAACACTGTGCTGGGTACCAAACCAGGCAACAGGGTCGCCGATGAGTTGGCACGAGAAGGATCGCAATCTGCCTTTTCGGGACCTGAACCATTCTGTGGTCTCAGTTGGTCCTCTTCGAGAGCCATATCTACTGAGCCGGTACGCTCGGAACGCAGTAAGTACTGGGGAGCGGTGGGGGCCTTAGACAGGCCTGGCTCTTCGGCTACTCTTTCAATAGAAACGACATTGTCTTAGTAAATAGATATGACATCAGGCTACTTTCTGGGTACCTGACCGGTCACAACCAATTGCGATTCCACTTGCACCGAATAGGTGTGATCACAGAGTCGGAATGCCGGCTCTGCCTCGAGGATGATGAAACTTTGGAGCATATTCTCTATCGCTGTCCGGCTTTGGCCAGACAAAGACTGAATTGTTTTAAATCTTTAATGGCCGAAGCCTTTGTTATAAGGAATTCGTCTACCAAGGCCCTTTTAGGATTCATTAGGGAAGCCGTTCGGAGTCGGCGTAAAACTGTAGGTCCCTCCGCTTTGTGCGACAACATCAAGGCGCACGCCACAAGTCGGAGGAGAAGCTCGGCCAAACACTAACATATGTGTAAGCGCCAATCTATTATTATTATTAACTAACTAACTAACTACTACTACTTTGTTGGTATCTCTTTTTATAAAATCTGGTATTCATATAGCTTATGATCAGTATTAACATATCAAGTTCTAATCGCGAAAATAAAGTAACCGACAATTATTTTCCTAGAGTTACAATTCTGCAATAAGGTCACGAAAAAAAATATTTTTTTAAGAGGGTTGCCGCCTGTTTAAAAGTTAAATACTACTTTAAATTATAAATTAAACGAAGTCTTACGATATGGATGCCAAACGAACGCTTTATTACGAAAACATCTTTAAGAGGATTGCCACCAATTTAAAACGTCAAATTTAATTTGAGTAATAAATTGAACGAAATATTACAATATGGGTGGCACACCAATGATGTTTGAGAATGTTTCGTTTTTTAATATTGTGAAGAGTGTGGCCACCTGTTTCAAAGTCAAATCCAATTTCCGAATAAGTTAAATAAGGTATTACAATAAGGAGGTACAATAAAGCTTTGTTAAGAAAATATTATAAATAAATTGTTTTTTTTTTACCTTGATTATGCTCTGTAACCTCGGAACAATAAGCACTTTTTTAAATCAAATTTTACATTTTCGGTGATATAATTTATTTTCTTTCAGAGCATTAATTTCAGAATTTTAAGAGTGTTGCTTTGATCCGATTGGATTTGATTTTAATGTCTGCTGGTCCCAGTACATACAAACTTTTAGTCTTCGTTTTTATTGAAAATTTATTTTATAATACATACATTATATCTATTTAGAATTTACAAACTTAAATTTTTTCTATTTTTTTAATAGAATTACACTTTCAATTACATCACATATATATAAAAAAAACTATCCTAAAAATAAATCTCAACAATCTTTATATTAGAAATACCATCCTTGGGATGTCTAAATTAATATAAAAAAGTACAACGCACAAAAAAAAACGTTTTCAATTATTTTACAACCAAAAAAAGCGTTAGCTCACATACATCCACCAGCTTTCGACTTTCAGTACAAAAAAATATAAAGTTAACTGCTAAATGTGCGTTAACTTGCACTGTGAGAATGTCACTCTCGCCTTTTTGCATTTCAATTTAGTTATATTGCGAACAAGTAAATAAATGATAACAAATGGCCACCGTACGTCTAATGCAAATTCCCATCTGCATTACGGTTCAGTTATAGCGGTATTCGTTAAGAGATTCATCAAAGTCGTTGTAGGGCCCGCCTGCGGTGAATGTTGCTCTGTTGTATTAGAAGATGTGAATTGCAGAAGTATTATTAGGTAGGTGGTGAGAGCGCCACTAATCTGCAATGTTTGTAGAATAAAAAAGTAAACAAAAAAATTTTAGATTAATATGCATCTGAATTAGGGCTGTGCGATTATTCGATTACTCGAGCAAGTTGGTTAATCAATTATTCGGTTAATCAATTACTCGAGTAATCAAGATTTTGATTACTCAAAACGATGATTAATCGAGTTACTTGAAATATGATTACTCTAAAAAAATAATTTTGCTCGTTAATAGAGTTTGCTTTGGAAAAAGCTTATTTTCTTTTTTACATTCTGTATATGAAAAAAATTGTTTGCTTTAATTTTTGAAAACAGAAACATTGTTTTCAAAGTATCAAGGAACTTTAACTACTTATACATATGTAAAGAGTTGAAATGTTGATTACTCATTTTACTCGAAATGTTGATTAATCATAAAGCATTTTACTCAAATATTTTTGTTTTTGGTTAATCAAAAATCTTGATTACTCGAGTAACTGAACTTTTGAGTAATCATAATTTCCAATTAATCGAATAATTGAGTTATTTACTTTATGATTAATTAAAATTTTGAGTAATCAATTAATCGCACAGCCCTAATCTGAATATTTTTGTTCATATAAAGTTAAGAAAATATACATTAGGCTGCTTTTTTCACGACAAATTTTTTTTCTTCATTCCCAATTCTTTGAAAATTTGAGCCCATAATATTAATATGAAGTGCTCAACCAAGGCGTGCAAAAATTTCCTGTTCAAAATACACGTAAACTTTGTTTTTTTTTTTCTTCTTAAAAATTCTACAGCTCAAAGGCATTTTCTGGTATCATCTTGGTCAATGATATTGTTTCATCAAAATTTAATGCTCTACAAAAGTGTCCATTGCGACGTAACCCTAACTCCCACCAGCGAGTTAGTACGGGCCACTAAACCCAATTTTTTCATGAAATTCTAATTTGTATGCCCCTATATTGTAAATAACAAGAACTAAAGAAAAAATGGGAACTATAAACTTGTAGGAAATTCAATTTCCCACAAAAAAGATCCATAACACTAAATCGGTAACACTGATAATTCTTGAGATATTGGGCCTTGAAGTTGATCAGCAATTTAGCTCAATAATCCATGAAAATTGCACACTACCTCAACCCTTGACCAAGATTATACCATATCATATTTATTTTACTAAAAGGAGTGTATCTCTGTATGGATATACAATCAGTGTCAAAAAAATGAATACCCTGACGTTTTGACGATTTTCTTGATTTACATTTTCTATACCAAATTTTTCTTATTTTTTATAAAAATATAGTTCATTCAACAACAAAAACCAGCAGACACAATTTTTTCAATTTCATATAGAACTCGGAAAAATTCAAGCAACACCAAAAAATTCACCAAAATTTTCAACTTTTCAATTCGATTTCCTGGAAAAATTTTGAGGATGCAGTTTCGTAGCCCATTTAGTATAATAAGATGCTAGTTTCAAGTTTCTAAAAATTACCGTTGATTTTTGGGATTTTTTTTTTGTCAAAGGTGTTCTGCTTTTTATTCTAAGAGCGTGTGTGAATCGGTAACAAAGTTCGCGGCGAGTAAATTTTTGACAACTATGAGGTGAATAAAATTTCAGTAGCTCATGAGGCTAGTGAAATTTTTGACAGATGCATGGAAAATTTTGACAATCGCAAAGATTGTTGATGTGTGTAATTTGTCGTTAAATAAAAGCTTAAATTGATGAATTGCAATCAACGATAGTCGATGTTTTCTTAAAATATTAATTTCACTTCAATTTTTAATATTTTATTCCGCATAAATCTGCGGTTATCAAAAATTTACTGCAGTCAAAAAATATTTAATTTCACACAGCAGATTGGCAAAACTGTCTCACCATAGTAAAAGTATTATTCAACAGCTTTCCCCATAGAACTTTGTTACCGATTCACACACGCCCTAAGAAATATAATTGAAAAGTTTAAATTTTGTTGAAAATCTTTTGGTATGATATTTCTTGTATTTCCCCGAGTTGTATATGAAATTGAAAAAATCGATTCTGCTGGGTTTTGCTGTTAAATAAAAAATAAAAAAAATTGGTATGAAAAATATAAATAAAGAAAATCGTCAAAACGTCAGAGTATCCATATTTTTGTCGCTGACTCTATACCTATAGAGAATGTATCACAAGCCAGTTGAGAATTGCAAGTATGCCAGCATAATGAGTTCGTAAGCATCTAAAATGCTCGAATTCTGTTCAAAAATTATATTAAGCTTAATTTTATGTATGTATATTTTCTGCCGTATTTCATACCGTAAAGTATAGCGTCCGATCTATATTGAAAAGTCCTGCTGCTGTGAAGTTTATTTTCAGGTGCAACAGTTGTAGGGAAAATTGCTGTAGCTTTTCCTTTACATCTGCGCTCTTCGCTTTGTTGAGTAGTGAATGCACAATGCCGCCGGTTTTCTCGCTCTGCAAAACATCAACATCAACAAAAACAAAACATAAAAAGTATTCAGGTAATTTTCTTCAAAACTTCCTGCTACTACTTCCACCCACCTTTTTGATAGCACGATTACTACCCTCCACAATTGAAATAATCGCAATTAGATACAAAATCATTTGACACGAAAAGAACGTAACAAATTCGACAGTCTTAAATTTACTCTCACGCTTCGATTTGCCCAATAATGTCTCCATTACATAGTAGGCATCGAAAACGATGATCAGAAAAGCAATCGAAATGATAGTCAGCAGCTGATAGGTGAAATATTTATTTGCTGTTGATGCTGCATCGCAAATCATTTGATGTATTTCCATTGATTCCTGTATAATTTCACAGGGATCCTTTGTGACCACAGTGTACATGGAGAAAGAGTCCAAGCATTGTAGCGAACGCTGCTTGGGTATAGGTTTAACAACACTATTGTCCCATTGGTGTGCGAGATTTTTGAGAACCTGCAAAAACGAGAGTAGAAAGGTTGGTGAATACATAGAAGAATGCAGAAAAGAAATAACATATGGGTATTAGTTGAAATTGTGGACTAAAAAGTAATCGGTTTGAACAAAAAAAAAGATTTGAGAATTAATTCCCAACCTATTCCGAACTATCAATCGAAATGAAATAATTATTTCTAGTGGACTATGGTAAACCGGACATAAGGAAGTTATGTCTTATTGGTTTTTTATTTGTATTGCATTTATGATAACGACTTCGTTCACCTTCTCTCCCAAATGAAAAGACCTATAGTTTTACGCCGCCTTCGAACGACAGATGGCTTTTCATAATAAGTTTTCTGATAGCAGACAGGGGTTTGCCATGAACTGAAGTGGGGCGGCCACTTAAGAAATGCCTATTTTAGAATGTTGCTGAGACCAGAAATCGAGTCTGAGTACTTCCGAGTGGTAGGCAGTAGGTATGCACCCCTATTCATCTGAGTAATTTTCAGTGTTGACTTCCTTCTGCAAACAAGAAGCTTGTTTTGAATTATCGGTGAAGACTACCGTAGCCATAGATTGTGGCACTAACCACCAGAGACCTAGCAGTATGCCTTTTATAAGAAAAAGCAAACAATTTCAGTTACCTCTTGACTTTTACTAGTCTGAGGGAGAAGAAACTAAGCAAAACGCCGATGAGTCTGTAAAAAACTCTAGGAAGACTCCTAAAAAATCACGAAAGTTAAACACGAAGAGTTTCGAAAATTCCTGAAAAAAACATAGACTCCTGAAAAAGTCCCAAAAAATCACGAAAAGTTTGTCGCGAAGATTCTGGATCTATCTTAAAAAAATCTCTTGGAAAAATCCAGAAATTACCAAAAAAATACACACCAAAATTCCCGAAAATCTGAAAAATAAACAGTAAATAAAGTCCCGAAAAATACATAGTCTCCTGAAAAAGTCCCAAAAGCTCTCCAAAAGTTTATCACGAAGAATCTGGATGGGAATCCAGAAAATCCGGAAAGATATCGAAAAATAAAAGCGTTTCGAAAGAGCTTGGAAAAATCCAGAAAGTATCAAAAAATATATTAAAAGTCCCAAAAACTCTGAAAAATACAAAAAAAGCAAAATTAAAGAATCCGGAAAAGTTCCACACATTTCTAGAAAATCCCCTGTAATAAAACAGAAAGCAAACCGCAAAGTCCCCAAAGATCTCGAAAAGATAAAAATAGTATCTACTAAAAACTTTCAGAAGTTTCTAAAAAAATCACGTGAATCCCTCAACAATTGCCGAAAAATAAAATCCGAATAATACCGAAAAAGTTTCAAAAGTTTCCGAAAGAATGTCGAAATGTTATATACAAAAGTTTCCTCAATTTCCGAATAACAAAATACGAAGAGTACTAGAAATTCCAGAGAAACCTAAAAAAAAGATTCAAAAGTTCCCGAAAAATTCCCGAAAAATGAAAGGCCAAGATGTGGTGTAAACAGTCAGAATGCTTAAGAGGAATGAGTGCATATCGGCTCAGCTGTTCAAAAATGGGTTTCAAGATCTTATTAGGTTCATGTACCACTGTTACTTTGATTTTATCAAAATTTATTTGAGCCAATAACTGCGGAATAAACCTTATCAAAATTGTATACTATGTGCTATCGACGATACTGTGTGAAGGACTGAGCCCTTCAGACCTGACAAATCGACCATTAACCAGTTTTTTTTTTTTATAGTGCGTCGAATCCAGGAAAAGATAAGCAAATCGACACACATAAAATATTAGTCGGAAAAAGGAACTCCGGGGCATCTGTTAGCCGTGGTACCGGGCTTAAGCCTCGGGTATGACTTTCGAAAGCCGTAAACTTCTACCAGTTGAGCCTCCACCGACTCAGGGCTGGTAGCCTTTGACTGGGGCCCCCCTGGAGCCATATTTTTCTGGAGTAAAAATTCGATTTATCACACTGGTAGCGCTGTTCTACTGAAGTGAACATCCTCTGCATACATTTTGCGCTCTGACCTACGACCGCGTGCACACAGAGAGCTTATAGCTGAGCTGATAAGCGTTGAATTAATGTTCTTATAACCCTATAAGCACGCTCTTCAGTTCCTCCAGCGCCGCTATAAACTCGCTAAGTGCTCGAGGCCTAAATCATCATTATAAGATTATACATATATGTTGCAGATGAGTTTGGAGCTTTAAACCCTTTGTCTACATTAAAGTATGTGCATTAGGGTGGTCTAAAAATGCATGTGGGGAAAAAGTAAAGTCGGAATTTTTATGCTCTCACCCCCTAGGGTCGTTCTATACCGAAAAAAATATATCCATATTTTTTTTGAATCATTAAATATTTAGTGGTCGCCCAAAGCGCTTAAAATTTTCCATGTGTTTTACATGGAAAAATATCACTTTTCGTAGAAATTGTATAGAATTCTTGAAAATCAATATTTTTCGATCTAGAAAATTCTGTACCTCTTCAGGAGAGTTCCAGTAATATTACCCAATTATTTATTTAAATATTTTTTCATAGTAACTATATTTTATAGGTCCGCTTAAACCCCCTGAAATAAAAAAGAATGGGTATATTTTGTTGGACACAGAAAAATCCTAGGGAGTTAGAGATTTAAAATTCCGACTTTACGTGTTTTGGCCCACCCTACACTTTATAAAGTGTAAACCTATTTTTTTTTGTTCACTCAACTTTATTCAGCGCACGAAAATATTGTGTCAATCTGTTAACGATGGCACCAAACATAATGACTATGCCACAGACGAGTACATGCGGTGCAAAATAGGATACGGCAGCCGGAAATGACGGGTGTATATTATATCGAGCCAGTATGCCATAAAAACATAATTGAAAGTAAAAAATTGTCAAAGCAAAAAACATCAGCGCAAACAAATTCGTACGCATTGCCAAATGCTTTTGTATAAATGACACGCCCACATTATAGAAACGTTCTTCGATTTTATGCATATTCTGGATTAGAGTGCAGAGCTTCTTGCGATACACAAAACAAATGCCAATCACTATGAGATTACTAAATGTTCCATTGAATTTTTGCATGCTATCCGTCAATCTCGAAACATCTGAGATGAAAAAGTTGCCTACAATTGTTTAACTATGCACCAGACTATAGACGAAGTTGACGTGTATAAATGCGAAGCGCAACGCCATATTTAAGTATCCCCAGGCCGAGACTCGTAAAAAATGTTGACGCGTTTTCGGCGATACACAAATGTGGTACGGCGTTAAACCGAACAAGTTTGCGGCAATAAAAATGAATCGCAAGCTGGCGTAAATGTTTCGTGGATGTTTTATGTCGCGCTTGAAATTGCGTAATGCCATTGGCAAACGGAAGGACATTTTCTAAAAATTTTCGTTATTTCGTATTTCCGCACTTGACTAAAGGTGTACAAGCAAAAAAAAAGAACAAATTTTTGCAAATGTAAGTGCTACTGTAGTAGATAGATATGTATGTATAACCAAATGTTATGCGCACAATAACGAGTTAAAAATACTTTGCTAAAGGCGATTTAATCTTGTTCACAATTGATGATTTGACATTATCAATATACGCGTTTCATATTTTCATCGCACAGAAGCAATACTAATTAGCTAATTAATAAATTACTTCATACGTTTTTCTATACACTGAGAAAAGAGTTTAGTTGCTTCAACTAAGGCTGCGTGCGAGTACATCTAAATTGCTAACTAAATAGAGAAAAATCCTAAATCGCTTTTCTACCTAAATTGAATTGAATGTGAAATGTAAAAAAGCGCGCGATTAAGGCAAAAAAGGAAAATATTCAGAGAAATGTCAGTATAAATATAATATATTTTAGTAAAAGTAAAGAATAGGGCCCGATGAGCTAGAAAAAAGAAAAAGTGGACGTAGCTAGCCCCTTATTCTTAATTTTGATGCTATACATTTTGTTTTGCTGAAAATTAAAATGGGCGGTGTAAGGGGAGGTAAAAGTGGAATTTTCAATATTTTCAAAAGCTTATTTTTCGAAAATAATTGAACCGACTTCCAAAACGTGGATATATGTAAATAATTAATACATATTTCGAGAAAAACTAAATTATGTCATTTTATCAAATACATAATTGCGCAATCGCATTGAAGGCATATAGGTCTAAAACAGCTGTCGTCATCCAACAGTTAAACACATGTACGACCTTCCCAAAGAGTTTGGACAAGCTGGTGAATATTCGGCTCAATATAACAGAAAGAATACCTACCAGTACGGAAAATCCATCAAGACTGCTCTGGCCAAATAGAAATATGCCCTAGCGATCAATCTCGATGGATATTCATCGGACATCCGACAGTCCTTCTTCAAAAAGCTGCAATAACTTCCGTACCGCTGCTTAAGAGCCCTTGCGCGTCGTACCTGGACATCCGAAACTCTGATTCAACTCTGTCTGTCTGGGGAGAATGAGCTTTTAAGGCAACAAATCGATGTGATATGATATGAATCCTTGAATATGTACCTACATAACTCTATGTGTTGGGTCGAGGGGGAATGACGCAGGGGTGGAACTCAGTCATGCACAAGCGAGCAACCACCAATCGTATTTTATTACAGAAATACCATGACTGCTGATATAGTCTTGATAACCGACGGCACTCTGAAATGGTCCTGCACGTTGGGAATATGTGATTTGTGAACTTTTGCCGGCCCAGTTTCAGAGTATCTGGGAACTGTAGAAGGATCATCTTTGATCGATGAATGGTGGGATAATCTGAACTGCCTGCTTGACAGTGCGCTCCAAATCGCTAGAAACTTTAAACTGAGTTGACTACAAATGTTATGGGAAGGTTGTTTAAGGTTTTCAAAATCACGCTTGTTAAGGACAACCATAGTTTATTTCCGCTTTTGTCTCTAATGCCAAATGCGCTAAGCAGACAAAGGCAACCCACTCTATTTTTTTATCAGTGATATCGCACCTAAGTATTTTTTAAAATTTTCTTATATTTTGTTGATGTGTTTATTTTGTACGTAGAACAACCTAGAGATAAT